TTCCAAGCTCTGCAGTTCTAAGATTATTATTTCTTTCCCAGCAAGGGTGGGAAAGTCTCCCTCCTTTTGGGAAGCCTGTTCTGCTAAATGGCAAGCTCTGCACTTCTAAGATTATTATTTCTTTCCCAGCAGGGGTGGGAAAGTCTCCCTCCTTTTGGGAAGCCTGTTCTGCTAAATGGACTAGCAATCTTAAGAGCTTTTCCCTGCTCAAAGTGCTCCATGTGATTGGGACTGCAACACATTTTGGGGGCCCTGAGTGGGGCGGGGTGCTCAGCAAAGCTTCACCGGTTTGTGATTTTGCAAGATTACACCCTCTGCCTGCGTCAAGTGGCTTTCATCTGAAAGGAAAATGGGAGAGGTTGAGAAAGAGTTCAGCCCTTAAAATGAGAGAAATCTAATTCCAGCTAAGCTTAAGTGGAGGGGCGGCAGCATCCATGATTTTGTAATTACAGAGAAGCAAATTCACAGTCACAGAAAACTGATCTTTCTGAAGAAAAGCTTCATAGAAGCTTCCCTTCTGGGGAAAACAAGGCAGAAGAAACCTCCTTAAAAGACTAAAAATAAGCAGGCCATTTCACTTCCTCCCTCTTTTACTTCTCCTTAAAGAAGTCTATCATTCCAGCTGTTAAACCACATCTGGAGTATGCAAGAAAACCAAACACATATATCTATTGAGGCTCTAGCAAGTTTATCTATCTACCTATCTATCTAGTATGGTGGCTTCTCAAGATGGAAACAGTGGGATATGCAACTGTAGGCTGTAGATAGGGTGTGGGTGTCACATTTTTATTGCTCCCTTCTGCAATTAGAAAGCTAACACAACTCTTTTTCCACTGCTTAACCCCCCCCTTTTTTTTGCAGGGAATTTACTTTAAAAAAAACCTATATAGCATGCTCTTATTTCCAAGAGCTTTTGGGGGTTCTAGTGGGAATGTTTGGGATTCAGCCCAACTATTGGTCTAGAACCGCTGGGTAGCTCAGTGGTTTAGGCATCCGGCTGAGGAGCCAGAGGTTGCGAGTTCAATTCCCCCCACTGGGCCTCCTTAAAGAGGGTCTGGACTCAATGATCCATTGGGTCCCTTCCAGCTCTGCAGTTCTAAGATTAGACTGATAATACTTCTCTTTCATTGTGTAATTTTGACCGTCCGAGCAACTGAAGTTTCTTCTGTGTTTTGGAAATAAAACAAAGGACAAGCGAACACTTTTACTAGGAGAACTCACAAGGTTCTTGGAAAGAAAAGCAGCACTGATTTGCGTGGCTTATGATCACTGAAAGCAAGTAAGAATTATTCAGCCCACAGGTCAGTTGCTTTCCCTGTTTCTGTTCTAAACTCACTAAGTTTTTTAAGAACAGGAATGTGTAAAAATCCCACTAGCTGAAATCACAAGCTTAATTTTAAAAAGACAATCTTAATAGGGATAACTGACCACAGAAACAAGTAATGTGTTTCAATGTTTGATATTTTAAAAATTCATGGAACATAAAACAGGCCTGAATCCAGGTGGTATCCCCAAACATAAAAGAATCCTTGAATAAAGGGATTTAGAGAAATGTTGACTCACCCTTTCAAGCAACTGAATCGGTGCAACTACTTTATTTGACAGCAGCAATGGTACGTATTTATTTTATTTATTTATTTATTTGATTTATACCCCGCCTATCTGGTCCGCACGGACCGGCAACAAAAAAGTACAGTACTTCTTTCACTGCACTGCCTTTTAAGAATATGGGAGTAACTAAACTTGAGGGCAACACAGTCTTATGTATTCAGACATAAATCTCTCTTAAGTTGAACCAGCTTTAAGACTACAGACTAAGCACTTGAGTAGGGGATGAAGTGGAGAGTTAACTTGACCTGAAAGTATATTGTCCTGAAAAAGGAGAACAAGATAATTCTAACTAAGAGATAGTTAGGAACTGAGCACAATTAAAAAGGAAAATATAGATTTTGAGGGAGAGCATAATATTTTACTAGCTTTTTTACCGACCCACGTATGGCTCAGGTTAGTTATCTGGAAAGGGTGAAGATGCTGCCTATTCACCTAGAGGTTAATTCTGCTCATCACAGGCGACCATGTGAGTGACTGTTCATATTGCTAAGTTAAAAGAAGCATTTAATGATCACTTGGAAGTTCCAAAGGGCAATCCAGTTTCCAAAAAAAGAGTACCTATGTTAGTCTGTCCTTGTAAAAATAAGAGCCTGGTGGCCCCATGAAGATTAGCTAAGCAACCAAATTGATTTAAATAAAATAAATCATTTTTAAAATTTAAATTGTGATTGAATTGTGAATTAAAACAATTTGATTTTTTTAAAGAAGGTCATTGATTTTTATCCACCTTGCAAACAAACACACAAACAAGCACAAATTTATTAGTCTTTCTGGTGCGACAGTATCTTCCGTTATCCATGCCAAAACAGCTTTTGTGGTGAAACTCAGCAGGTGCTGGCCTGTAAGCTGCCAGACTCAAAAGACCAATTTGGGAATGGGAGCTAAGCCATCTTGAGATGTATAAAAGGGCAATGTAACAAAACAAAAACACAAGATCACAATGAAGTAACAACTAATCCAAATATGTAACCTTGGCTGAGATCCACCCACAGAGTCACCACAAAAAAAATAAAATCAACCCTTGCTTTTATCTCTTTACACACAACTAAATAGAGGAGAAAAAGCACCTCTTTCCTTATTCCGTTTAACTGCCCCAATACGGGGAAAAAAAGGATGTGTTTCGCTTTGAGTTCTAATTCCACCTTCCTCAAACTGATGCTCTTCAGTTTAACTGGTAGGGGAAAACATAATAATTGGGTACAATAGTCATGCTCTCTGGAGATGATGTGAACTGTTGTCTTATTCCTCAAAGGCATTTGGGTGGAGAAGGCTGTTGTCAGTGAAAAAAACAGGAAAAACCCAGAGAAAAATGGACTTACAGGTGGACAGTCTCTCCCCACCCCTGTTGTTCTCATCTGTGTTAATCTAGTGTTAATCTAGCTGCCTAGAGTGGTTGTTTGACCAGATAGGCGGGATATTAATACAATAAATAAATAAAATAGACTGGTGGCAGATACACAGAAATTTCCTGCCCAATACAACTTCAGAGCATTAGCGTGAAACAGTCTCTAAACTCACATTGTTTTGCTTATTTTTTAAAACTCCCCTGTATGGTAGATGAAAATTATTAATTTTCATGTCACAGGTGACAGAGAGAGAAAACTGAAGCTGAGACAAGCAGCCACTTGGCCAGGGCTAGGTAATATTTGTGTGTGGCAGACATGAAGTTTGAATCAGGACTTTTCCTGCTCTTTAGGAATATTAAACACAACACGTTACAGGGATCCTGCACTTGTTCTCAAGGAAATGCTCGATATTAAGCCCTCAGTGGAGTTTAGCAAAAAGATATAATCAACTTTTCATCTACTTTTATCTTTGGTTTCTCGGGGGGTGGGGGTGGAATTGGGGGCAAGGCACTTAGATCAGTGGTTCCCAATCTTGGGTCATCCTTCTTGGGCTGCAAACCCCAGAAACCCCAGCCAGCACCGCTAGTGGTGAAGGCTTCTGGGAATTGCAGTCCAAGAAGACCTAGGTGACCCAGCGTTGGGAACCACTGAGTTAGATGAATAATAGACTTCATGTCTTAAGCAGTAAGAATGTCAGACTTGAACATTGGAGAATCCAGTTCTAGCCCCAGTTAAGCCAGGAAACCCACTGTGTGACCTTGAGCTTCTCTCTTTCAGCCTAATCTACCTGACACTGTGTTCATTTTATGAGGAAAGGAACCGCACACAGGCAACCTCAAGCTCAAGGAAGAAAAGTAGGATAATAAAAATAAGTATTTGACATAAATACAGGGCAAGTACCCCAAAATGCTGCACCAGCCCCTATATAGATTATGCAACCTTGAATGCTTTAATAGCAAGGACAATTCTTTGTCCAGTAATACATCCAAGGCGCAGAAAGCAGTGTGCTGGTACAGTATTTGCACTGTAAAAGCAGAAAAAAAAATGCTTTAAGGCATGTGACTCATTGCAAAAGTTAGAAAGCCAGATAGAAAAACAAACAATATTCTCCCAAATCACGAAAGCTGTCTCTCGGTCACTGGTGGCTATTCTCCTAAACAGGCAAAGGAAACAACACACTCTAAATGTGTTCAGGGGATCAATGTCAGCCTGTGTTCTTGCTTCCCTGCCTCCAAAGTTTAAAAAAAATAAATAAATAAAACCTCACAAATGTTGAAACTCGTCCCTGGGGAAAGACCTCAGGGCTGAACTGGGTTGTAAATTAATCCGCAAGGCAGCCACCGCCAAGGGGCCAGAACCACCAGACCCACAAGCCCAACGTGGGTGGCCCACCGAGCCTGCGCCTGGAGCTGCCACAGGAAGAGACCCAGGCCTCCATTGAGAGAGAGAGAGAGAGAGAGAGAGAGAGAGAGAGAAAAATGGAATTTTGTGGAGGGGGGAAGGGAGAGATGTTAAAACAGAGACAATGACAAAGCCTCTACTGCAACCCCCGACCCCACAAAAGCAGGGCTTTCATTACTCTCCTTTCCAATGCATGCCAGTAGGGTTGTTGTTGGGGGGTTTTGCCCCCCAAAGGATCATCTCCCACTATCCTTTCTACTAAAACAGACAGGGAGATGTGGATGGGGTCATCCCTTGCTATTTCCTAACCCCACCCCCTCCAAGGGCCAGGCAACGGGGAGAAGGGCACGGCTCTTATTCTCCCCTCCCTTGAAAAGGCCAGAGGCCCTACGGCCCCCCCTCCAACATTTAAGGCTGCGAAGAGGCAACCTCCTGGGTCTCCAAAGGCCCTCACACAGAGGGGAGGCAGGGGCCTATTTAGCCCCCCCACCCACACTCGCCCCCAAGAAAGAGGGCCGCCCTGCTAGCCCTCCCCTCCCCTCCCCTCCCCGTTCCCCCAAAGGGCAGAGCAGGTAAGGGGGGCCAGGTGAGCAGAGGGAGCCCCCTCTCTCCCTCCTCCTCCTGGGGGGGGCCTTCCCCTACCTTCGGGGGGGGGCCCTCCTGGCGCTGCTTCTCCTCCTTTCTCCGCTGAAGCGGCCGCTGCTTCGCCCTCTCTTGGCTCCGACCCCACCGGAAGTGGAGCTGGCGGGAGGGAGGGGCCGAAGAAGAGGAGGACGCCACGCAGGAGCACTTCCGGGTCAGGAGCAAGAACCCGGAAGGGCCCCAGCAACGCATGCGCAGAAGGGTGGCCCGGACAAAAAAGCCCTTTAAAAAAAAATCTTCTGAGGGGCTTAGGAGTCTGACATGAAATTAATAAAATTAAAATGTAGTTGCCTGCGGTTGGTTTGCCTCCTCCATGCTCCTTCCTCACAACAACCCTATGAGGTGGGGCAGGCAGGTTTCCCATGCCTGAGGACAAACAGAGCTGAGGGTCCAGACAGAATTGTGTTCCCTCAGATAAAGCTGACTATGAACAGGAATGGTGGAAACTAGGTTTATTTTATTCCTCAAGGTGGCAAAAATAAATTTCTCCTCCTCCCTCCCTCTCTCTCGCACTGGTGACTTGATTTGGGTGTCTCTCCCCCGCCCCCCAATGACTTGGACTCCACTTATGACTCAGAAGCCGCCCATCCCATCCTTTCTTTTTCTGGAGAAAAAAAGCTGTTTTTAAAATAGGGACTCGGATTTGGTGCTCGGGACTCGTGGCCCAAAGGCTTCCCAACACTCTTCGCTCTCTCGGGAGAGAAAAGAGACTTTTCAAACCCTGTTCATGAGGTGGGAACTGCACACAGCTGGCAGGCTGCAGATGGGGCATGTGCTAGGTGCACTTCCATCATCCTGCACCCCTTTCCCACTCACTGTCCAGTCAAGCGCTGCTTGTGGCCCAGATTCCCTTCTGGTCTGGATCGGCTTCAGGGCTCCTGCAGTTGGAGGCCGGCTCACCTCCTTTTTCCACAGCTTAAGTCTGGGATTGGAAGATCAGAAATCAGTTGAGCGTTTTTGGCACACCTGGTCACATCCTCAAATTCCCTCGCTGGTTCATAAGACTCCTGTTCCAGGACTTGCATTACCATCATCTCTTCAAGAGACTCCAACTTTGCTGGGATGACAGACAGGTCAATGCCCATGATGTCTTCCTTCAAAGAAGCCAAGGCAGGATCAGCCCATGGGGGCCGGGCACTTGACTGCTACCCCCTTTCTCTGGCTCGCCTTCTGAGGGCCATTTCAGGGTCCCCCTTAAGGGGGGGAAGGCACCCTCAACCTCCCGCTACCTTCTTCCCAGGACCCCTGTGTGGCCTTCGTTCCCCAGTTGTGCCTGAATTTAGGACAGCTTCAGCAATGTGATGATGCCTTTGAATTGTGGTGCTGGAGGAGGCGCTTGAGAATCCCCTGGACTGCAAGGAGAACAAACCTATCCGTTCTGAAGGAAATCGACCCTGAGTGCTCATTGGAAGGACAGATCCTGAAGCTCCAATCCTTTGGCCATCTCATGAGAAGAGAAGACTCCTTGGAAAAGACCCTGATGTTAGGAAAGTGTGAGGGCAAGAGGAGAAGGGGACGACAGAGGACGAGATGGTTGGACAGTGTCACCGAAGCGACCAACATGAATTTGACCCAACTCCGGGAGGCCGTGGAAGAAAAGGAGGGCCTGGCATGCTCTGGTCCATGGGGTCACAAAGGGTCGGACACGACTAAACGACGACAAAGGCCACAGTAGATAACTGCTTGATATTTGTGCATCTTATTAACAAAACAGTCAAGCATTAAAATTCTAAACCCTGTCTAGGTTTGTCATCGCTTTCCTCCCAAGAAGCAGGCATTTTTTAATTTGGTGGCTGCTGTCTCCATCTGCAGTGATCATGGAGCCCAAGTGTGAACGGGTTCGCTCCCCGCCACGGGCAGCCCCCCAGAAAGCATGGCAATAAGGGATGGAGGCTGACTTAAAACTTTAACAGATTCTTTTTTATTATTCAACACTTCTTGCTCCATGGCTTTGTACGGATCCATTAAACTTAACTCAGGAAGAACTTTGAAACTTTAACTCTCAACTCGGGTGTTGTCCACTCACTTCTTACATTGAGGCTGGCCCAAACTACTCACGATCTGTCATCAGCCTCAAAGGAGTGGTCCTGACCGCGCAGATCGTCCCACAGCTGGGATGTCTTGCCCCGTCCGTCCCCCCGCGCGGTTGTTGTAGTAAAGAGGGATTGGGACGAATAACCCTCCGGCCGCCATGCTGGTTGTGGGGATAGACGACCACCATCCATTCTAATGCCTCAAGTTCACCTTCAGCAGCATTCTTTCCCACAGGATCTGGCAGCAGACCTCCTCCTGTGCGGAGGTTAGGGAACTCCTTCAACAGTCCAGCCAGACTTTCGTGCTCCCCCTCAGGTTCGGTCTGAACTGCCTTCTCCACACTCTCCTTAGCTGGCTCCACTGTTATCTGAAAAGCCCGCGCAGTCTCTCCCTCATTTAAGACCTCCTCCCAAATAATCAAATCCCGCTCCGCCCCCTCATCATCTGCCAAGCAAACCTCCAGGGCCTGTCTCTCTGTTTGTTCTTCCTGTTCAATCTCCACTAGCACCCCTTCTACACATCCGTGGGGTTCACTGGAGGTGGATACCCTGGAGGGCGGCACACTGTGGACTCCTTGCTCACACCAAGAAAGTAAAATCTGTCACTGCCTCCATATCTTCCCCTTCTATTTCCCCGGAGGTGATGGGACCAGTGGCCATGATCTTAGTTTTTTTGATGTTGAGTTTCAGACCATTTTTGTTTTTTCTTTAAAAACTTGCCACAGTTAGCTGTGGTCCACAATGTCAAAGGTTTTTGTGTAGTCAATGAAGCAGAAGTAGATGTTTTTCTGAAACTCTCTGGCTTTCTCTGCAATCCAGCGCATGTTAGCAATTTGGTCTCTAGTTCCCCTTTTTCGGCTTTTAATATTATTAGATTATTATTATTAGATTTTTAATATGCCCAGTGTATTGGGCCCTGTCCTTAAATGGGATCAAGAAATTACTGTTCGTCTCCCCTGTCGTTCAAAGAGAATTATTCTTGTTATAAAACCGTTAAGACCTATGACTTGTTATTAAAACATGGAATAGAAGAAATGAACCCAAATGAGACCGTTAACTTGTTTGAAAATAAACATGTTCTTCTACGTAGTGGTCCTCTGTGAATGCACACGAGTGGGTTGTTCTGCGCCTCATCAAAATCCAGCTCAACAACAGTTTCCAAATCCCGGACTCACTCTGACGAAACCACTAAGAAAAGGAAGGACAGGGACAAATCATCAAAGTCTAAAAAATAGTCAAAATCTACACATATTGAACCACCACAACCCATTCCTCCATCACCGATCTTGGAAGAATCATCAAGAGAGGCTCCCATTTCAACATCCGATAGGAATGAACATTTCTAAACCTCCATCATCCCTCCAGATTCCATGTAGAATGTAAAATCATGAAACTCATGGACTCGATACAACATTTCTGCTGAAACATCCGACACCTAATTCAATCGTTGTCGAATAAACTCAACACAAATCCCGCAATAAATCATCAGCAGCACCGACTAACAAGGAAGGAAGAAAAATTGATACCTTGGGATGAAAGCTTTATTCCCTTACCTCCTTTTTAATACTGGTTGCAAACTATCAAAAAGCCATGGGGGCTTATCAGAGACATCTATGGGATAAAGTCTTACCCATACTCCAAACTGCACCAGAAACCACCAGAACAGAATTAGTCAACACTTACACAGAAGCATCAACATTTGCAAAGCAACAAAGAATAGCAGCACGGCACACAGCTGATGCAGCATCCAAAACAACAGCCACTTCCATTGCACTCAGGAGGCACGCATGGCTCAGATCATCCAACATCTTCGATGACACAAAAACAAGAATAGAGGATCTCCCATTTGATGCTAACGGATTATTCAATTCAAAAACAGATGAGCTCATGGAAAACAAACATATATAAACTATCAAAGACTGCAAAACCTTACACAACAGAACAGCCTTATCGATACCAGAGAACATCATACTGAAAACTGCCATAAGACCAACAACGCTACTATCCATACCAACAACCCTTTCGGTCATATCAGCCACAACCTCATGACAGACTTTACCCTACGAATCTGTTCATCAACCCCCGGTCTGCAGCCCAGCGCCGGTCCGTGGGCCTCCTTGAACTGGGCCGCGGACACAGATCTCCGCCCCCCCGGCATGCGTGGGTGGGCGTGTCGCGTTTGCGGAGGGGCATTTGTAGCGCTCGTTGTTTGGTCACGATTTGCACAAGTGTAAAGGGAACATTTGAACAGAAGGGTGATTAAGAAGGTTGTGTTGACCGGGATTGTGGTGAGAAAAGGAAGCAAGCGCCAGGGGGCTCGATGGGGGTCCCCCCCTTCCCCACTCTAAGCCGTGGGAAAGGGAGGTGGCTAAGGGATGTCGCCTGGAGAACCAGGCCAGCTTAAGCAAGGCTGGGCGACTCTCTCAGGCGGCCGGAGCAGGGAAAGCCTACAGGGGTGTGTGAGCCGTCACTTATGGCCGAGTCGTAGGAGAAGGCATGTAAGGCACCAGAAGCTCGCCCACGTCTCTGTGATAAATGGGACAAGAGAGTAGAGAAGAGGAGAAAGGGGGAGGTCCATGGCAGAGGCGGGAATGGGGATTATAAACAGGGAGGACGATAACATCCTGGGTGGCTGGGAACTCATTTGGATAGAAGACCCGTGGACCGGGAAATGGGAGTGTGTAAAGGTACCCAGGGAGGAGGCGGATAACCGTTGGCGGAGAGGACTTCCCCAGCGCCCATCTTACTGGGGAGGATCTGAGGCAAAGGAGTGGAGGAGGCGACTGAGGGAAGAAAGAGAAGCGGTGGCTCGAGAAACAGAGAGAAGAGCATGGTGTGACGAGGAGGAGGATGTGCTCCCAGGGCCGTGGGGACAGCTCACTGGTGAGAGAGACCCGGTATGGCGAGGTGAGGATGATGACGAGACCTCCCCGTTACTAACAGAGGAAGGAGTCGAGCCTGAAGGAGTGGATGAAGACCCTTTCTGGCGGGACCTTGGGACTTAAATCCTTTAAACCCATTTGCATCTCAGTTATGAACACCCCTGCACCCCCCGTTGGTGTCGCAGGAGAGGTTAAAACAA